GGGCGTCCTCCTGGAGAGCGCGGCGCCGCCGCGGGTAGCCCGCTCGCGCGGCCGCACCGCCTGGACTGGTACCCGTGCCTCGGCGGCGAGCAAGGGGGGGAAGCGAGAAGAAGAAGACCCTCTCAGAAGGCCCGGAAGTCCCCCAGCCTTCTGCTAAGTTCTCTAGGCATTCCCCGAGGAGAGACACAGACTTTCTCGGAAGGCGCCAGGGCTTCTGAGGAGAAGCCCCGCCGCCTTCTGAGGAGGCCTTCTCCTCCTCGCTCCCCCCACCCTCTCGCTCGCCGCCGAGGTGCCGCGGCCCGCCGGCCGGCACGGCTCCGTCACTGGCGGAGGGGGGGGGGGCCTGCAGGGTTCCTCGGAGTGGCCCGGGGCACGCATCCGAGGAGGAAGAGATGCCCACACCGCTACCCTTCCCTCGTTCTCCCCTTCTTGTAAACCGGCGAAGGGCGGCACCAAGCAGACACTTTCGCTGTCGGGGGCGCTTGTCCCAGGGCGGCTGGAAAGTTTACATCCTTACGGTGGCACGTCGGGGTATGAATTTTCCAGCCGCCTTGGGGCAGCGCCCCCGGCGACGGAAAAATACATGTTGTACCGTTTTTCGCCCGCTGATTGTGGGGCCTCCTGGGAAGCCCTCGTCGCCACGGCCAGATTCGCCTCGGAATTCTGGTCAGAACGCACCCCGGGCGAGGTCTGGGGGGCAGCAGTATCGGTACCTTTTGGGTTCCCAACACAGTCAGGTCGCATGCAGCCGACGCTTGCCACAAGGAGCCCCAGGTAAGGAGCGAAGGGGCTTTTGTGGCCACGGCGAACCTCGACCAACAGCAGGTTTCCCGACGTTGGTCCGAGGAACGGCCCAGAAAGGGAAACCCCTCCCGAGCCAACGGTGTTCATTCTTTCGGCGCGTCAATGGTAGTCAGGATGAACAATTCTCCAAGGCTGCCCCTGCATCCTCGCCCCTTCGACCCATCCTTGGCGACTTTCGCTGACCAGCCCCGTCCGGGAGCGCCAGCATGGCCCCCCAGGGCCTTTGCGCCCTGACCGCGCATCCTTATGTATGCGGCTCGACTGTACCTCGGCGTCGCCCGAGCGTGCCCATGTGCGCTCGGTGCGCGCGTATCCACGGACCTACTCGCTCCACCTGGCGCGCTCCAGAAGGGGCCTCGGACTCGGCGCGTCTCCTCCTCCTCCTACCCCTCCTCCTCCTCCTCCTCCTCCTCCTCCTCCTCCTCCTCCTCCGCCTCCTCCTCCTCCTCCTCCGCCTCCTCCTCCTCCTCCTCCTCCTCCTCCTCCTCCTCCTCCTCCTCCTCTCCCTCCGGCGGAGGCCGGCGGAGGGAGAACGGCGGCGGGCCTTCTGGCGGGAGTCGGCGCGGAAGCGCGGCGGAGGGCGGCGGAAGTAGAAGCGAGACGTCCACGTCTTTGGATCCAGGGTCGCCCGAGTGGGCCGCTGCACGCGTACGAAGAGCGCGCCCCAGCGAACGCACCACGTCGTCTGGCCGGCCAGGGAGCCAAGGAATGCCGCGAGCAGATTCCGTGTGGTACAGGCGCTCCAGCGTCCCACGGCTCGGGGAGCTGGGGCCTCCACGCACCGAGCTCCTCTCGTCGGTGCACCGAGGGGAGCAGTGAGAGGGGTCGGGGCTTCTCGGAAGGCGGCGGGATTTCTCAGAAGCTGCCCGGCCTTTTGAGGAGACCTCTCTGTGGCTTCGGAGGAGGCTCAGAGAACTGTTCGTGAGGTCGGAGGCGTTTCGAGTCGTCTGAGGAGGCCCAGCCCCTCCTGCCTCCCACCCGGGAGCGCCGCCGATCTTTGATCGACCAGGCGACATGCTGCATATGTACCTCGAGCCCGCCCCCCCCCCACCCCAGCTCAAGGTCCTCCCTTGCGCGGGCCGCGGCGTGGTCGGCGGAGCCCCCGCGCGCGCAACGACGTGTACAGATCCGCGGAGGAGCCCAAACTGAGAAACGGTGACGGTGTCGCTGTTCCAGCGACGACGACGACGACGACGACGACGACGACGACGACGCGGCGGCGGCGGCGGCGGCGACGGCGACGGCGACGGCGACGGCGACGGCGACGGCGACGGCGACGGCGACGACGACGACGTCGACGACGTTGCCCCCAGCTTTCCAGCGGCGACGACGGCGACGACGACGGCGACGACGGTCGACGACGTCGACCGTCCAGATTTCCAGCGGGCTTCGGACACCTCCTCCGCCTGCCTCGGGGCGGCGGTCGGGCCCGGGGCGGGCGCTCGTGGCCGAGGCGGCCGCGTCTCTCGGAAGACGGCTCGGCGTGGAGGCGAGCGCTGGGAGGCTCCGAAGGCGGAGTTGGTCGGGCTGCCCTCTGCGTGGCGGTCGGCCGCACTCGAGAGCTGGGTGGCCAGGTGGGGCACCGCCCACTGCTAGGCGGAAGGCGCAACTTGGCAAGGATCTCGGCGCTTTTGGTGACTGGAAAGACACGCGTGGAATCGGCCAGGCAGGGCTGCGCCAGCCCAGTATCGTCAGCGCATCCTCCGACCACCCCCCGCGGCGACGACAACGACGACACCTCCGCTTCCAGATGCGAGGCGGAGGCAGGAGAGGGATCCACTCTGTGCTGTTACAGGTGCCCCGGCACCCAAGCCCATGATCCTGAAGCGAGGTTTGGCTTCGGCTCGGGCTGCTTCATCGTGGCGTGGGTTCTGCTGGGAACGTTGTGTTCGTCGTTCTTCCCAGCCATCCTGTGGTGCTGGATCCTTGCTTTAAGGAGGAAGCGCCCCGCATCCACTCCATCCGCTGCTCCCCCATCCCTCCTCCCCAGGCATGCCTCTGCTCTCCGCATGCAAGATTTCTCTTTGGGCTGTCTCGCACTAGTATTTCTTGAATGGTTGTCAAATTGGGCGGCGCGTCGGAGGAAGCAGTGTGAGTGTGCGTGTGTGTGGTTGTGGTTGTCTTCGTGCTCGTGTTCGTGATTGTGCTTGTGTTTGTGCTTGTGTGTGTTCGGTGTGTTGTGCTGTGTTTTGTGGTGGGTGCGTGTGAGGTGTGTGAGTGTGTGCGTGTGCGTGTGCGTGTGGATGTGCGGGTGCGTGTGCGTGTGCGTGTGCGTGTGTGGGTGTGCGGGTGCGGGTGCGTGTGCGTGTGCGTGTGCGTATGTGTGTGTTGTGTGTGTGATGTGTATGTGTGCGCGTGTGTGCGTGTGTGCGTGTGCGTGTGCGCGTGCGTGTGCGTGTGTGCGTGTGTTCGTATGAGCGTGTGTGCGTGTGGGTGTGTGTGTCTGCGTGTGTACGTGTGTGCCTGCGGGCGCGTGTGCGTGTGTGTGCGTGTGTGCGTGTGTTCGTATGAGCGTGTGTGCGTGTGTGTGTGTGTGTGAGTGTGTGTGTGCGTGTGTGCGTGTGTGCCTGTGGGCGTGTGTGCGTGTGTGTGCGTGTGTGCGTGTGTTCGTATGTGCGTGTGTGCGTGTGTGTGTGTGTGCCTGCCTGTGTGCTTGTGTGTGTGCCTGTGTGTATGTGTCTGTTTGTGTGTGTCTGTGTGTGTGATGTGTGTGTGTGTGTGTGTCTTGCCTTGCCCTTGAGGTGTGTGGTGTTTCCTCCCTTCCCATCGGCTCCCCCTCCTTCGTCAGTCATCCCGTGTCCCTCGCGTCCGTCTCTCTCCCCCCTCGGCTGTCCGTTGTCGCTCCTCGCTCCTCGCTTCTCCCTCGCTTTGCTTGGCCCTCCTTTCCCTTGTCTTGCTGCCCCCTTGTCGCCCCAACTCGGACCGACTTGGTCTCTGCTCTGCGCTGCTCCGCCGCCGCCCGGCCACACTCCCCCGTGAGGTGCCGGCCGTCTTCCCGACGACGCGCGGCTCCAGCCGTGCGGGGGGCCCGACGCGTTGGCGAGTCGCCGCGCCGCTACGGCCGAAGTAAAGAGAGTGTGTGTGGTGTGTGTGTGTGTGTGGTGTGTGTGTGTGTCCGTGTGTCCGTGTGTCCGTGTGTCCGTGTGTCCGTGTGTCCGCGTGTCCGTGTGTCCGTGTGTCCGTGTCTGTGTGTCTGTGTCTGCGCGCGTGCCGGTGTGTTTGCGCGTACGTGCGCCACGTGTACACGCGTATATGTGTTTGGATGTGGTGTGTGCGCGCTGTTGTTGTACAGTGTTGTCAGTGTGCTGTGTGCAAATGTTTGTGTGTGTTCCCGTCGCGGCGCCCAGAGGTCGGGGCTGGATCCGGGTCGGCCGTCCTCCGCTGCGCCCGCCCCCCGCCGCCGAGCGATTTCTACGGCCCGAGCGACGCGGCTGGACAGAGAGAGAAGAGCGAGACAGAAAGAGAGAGAGAGAGAGACACAGATAGACACGCAACGACCACTCGTGGGCGGGACGACTATCCATACCCACGGCCTCGCGGCTTGGATTGTCCCGCCGTGACACCCGTGGATGCGCGCTCGCATCCGACATCACACTTTTCTCGCGCACGGGACCCCAGGGATCTCGAGCCCTTCCCCATGTTCAGGGGCCGGGTTTTTCTTCCTGGGCCCCGGGGTCAGGCATAGGCCTGAAGAGTCCGAACATTTTGAAAAAACGTTCGTCGGCGCTGTCTGCTGCGACGTCGGGATTTCAGGGGCAGAAACGGCCGTGCGCAGATACCCGCGCGGAGCGTACCCATGGGATCGCGTATCCATGGGGTCGCGCCTTGGAGCGTATCCATGGGGTCGCGCCTTGGAGTCCGGACCGCGAGGGGGTGGACCCAGAGCCCCGACGTAGGGGTTCTGTTCGCATCGTGGACCCCTGGAGTCCCCGACCCCTTCACCAGGGCTGGGTTTTGTTGTCCCGGCTTGCGCTGCGACGGTCAGAGAGTTCGGCACGGACCACCTGAGTCCGCACATTGCCAAAATGTCGCGTCGTTTTTTTTTCTCTCGGCGCAAAGGGAGACTCTGGGAATCCAGATCGCGAGGGCCTGGGTACGGGTATGTTCGTCGCCCCTGGGCACCTGCCAGCTCCGCCGCCATGGGGATATGCGCCACCGTGCCCCAGGAGTGCCCCGCCGCCCTTTGCCGTCGCCGTCGCGGCCGCCGCCGCTGTCGAAGCCGTCGTCGTCGACGTGCGCCGCCGTGGAGTGGCGCGCCCCTAGACAGCAGGGTCGGGGACGCCGTCGTCGTCGTCGTTCGTCGTCGCCGTCTTCGCCGTCGTCGTCGACGTCGTCGTCGTCTCCGCCGTTTTCGTCGTCGTCGTCGTCGTCAGCGTCGCCGTCGTCGTCGTCATTTTCGGACCTGCGCGTCACCTCGCGCGCGGTTCTCCCAAAGGGGCGGCGCGGGTCCCTGGACAGCAGGCACGGACACGGGGCGTCGTCCCTCGTCGACGCCGTGGTCGCGGCCGCGTCTGGCCTCGCCGTGGTTGTTTCGGGATGTTCTCGGAAGTGCTCGCGCGCAGGTGTTTCTGTTCTTGATGTTTGGGGTTGTGGGCGTGCTTGCCGCCGTCGCTGTCGTGTCGTCGTGGGGGAGGTAGGGTCAGTTGCGTTCTGACGTGCCGCGGCAGCGGTCGGAAACGCATGGAGGTTCTCGGACGTCCGTCTTCCGGCGGTTCTCTCGCAGGGCTCCCGGAGGCTCTCTGAGGTATGTCGAAGGCTTTCGCGGCTTCCTGGAGGTCTTCGGATAACTCCTTCGGGCCTCGGAGAGGAGCACCGCATCCAGAGGGCAACGCCCGCCAGCGAGCTAGATCCTGGGGGCGCGGGGCGCTCCCCCGGCCGCAAGAGCCCCTGGACAGCCGCACCGCCCGGGCAGCTAGGGCCCCCGAGGCAGCGCCGATCTGCAGCGGGCGGTGCCCCTTTTCGGGCGACGCTCGTAATACCCGTTGTGTTCGTCGTCAGTCCCATCCCCCCATCCCTACTCTCAAGTGGGGCATGTCCCTCTACAGGAGGGATAGTCAAAAATTGTGAAAAAAATCTAGCATGGGGACGATGTTTTGACTAGCGGTGGCTACTTCTGGATATGTTTTGACTATTTTCACTCTTCCTCCCAAGTCCGCCTGTAGGAGGACATGCCCGACCTGACCCTGCTCGTCCTCCCTCCGTGCTCTATGCAGCCAAGACGCCGAAGGGCCCCCCCGCTCTGGGCACCGGAGGGGCTGTGGCTCCCGGGCCGCTCCTCAGAGCCAGCTCGGGGAACCAGCTCGTGGCCGTGGCGAGAGACGGCCCCCGAGCTCCTGAGCCGGCGCTCCTTGTCGCAGCGCGGTGCCTGTGCCCTCTCTCCTCCCTCCTCCTGCTCCTGCCCTTTCCGCCTCCTCCCGCCCTCCTCGCCTCCTCCTGTGCTCCCATCCGTAGCCACCTCGGCCCAGGGCCCCGTGCGCCAGTGGCCTGCCAGTTCCTTTCCGCCCGGCTCTCTCCCGCGCTGCTGCCCGTGCGCGCTGCCCCGGGTTGGAGCCTCCCGGCGGGCGACGGCGGCCGCGCGCCACGAGATGAGCCCGACCGCGTAATTTTATAGTGCTGCCCGCCGCTGGGCGGGGCCGCGCCCCCTCGCCGCTGCGCGGAGGCTCGGCGACGTGGCCCGCGTCCGGCGCGTGCCTCGCGCAGCCGACGTCCGCGACGTGGCGCAAGCCTGCGGCCCAGGCCGCCCGGGGCCCGGTCGGCATGGGGGCCGGACTTTCGATGTACGCCGCTGCCGTATAAGGGTCCCGCGCCAGTGGATCGACGTGCTCTGGGCCAGCTGGTGCCCCTGCTGCTCAGAAGCCTCAGGCGCCGCCGGCGCACTCCCTACGTTGGCTTCGTGCCTCCATTCACTCTTCGGTGCCCCCGCTTAGCCCTGGCGCCGGTGCAGCCATTCTGCCTCGCCGCCGAAAGAGAGAACAAGGGTATGCTCATGCCTCCACCGGGGGGGGGCCCAGCGGAGCTGCCCGCCGGCGCCGTCGTGCGCGGCGCCCTCTCGCCGCAGGTGGGGGTGGCCCCTCCCTTTGGGCTCAGGTCGGGCACGTTCCTCTGCAGGAGGAAAATTCGAGAATGGTCAACAATAGTCCGGGGACGATGTGTCGATGATTTCTGGCTATGCTTGATCGCGTTTCGACTATGGCTCGCGTTTCTTCCAAAACTCGCCTGCAGGAGGACATGCCCGATCTGATTCCAGGTGCCAGAGGCCTCGATCGTGCAGAATGTGGCGCCACAGCGCGCCGTCACTGTCGACGCGTCGTCCTCGCCTCCCGAGGCACGCGAGGTAGAAGCTGTTGGTCGTTGCTACGCCGTGGCGAGCACCGACCTTCCGTTAAGTTAAGCCTGTCCCTCTACAGGGGAAATATTCAAAAATAATATATGTATAAAAAAAGTCTGGGGACGATGTTTCGATTATTGTTGGATTATGTTTGAATGTGTGCTGACATGTTTTCACTGTTCGTCCAAAAATCCGCCTGTAGGAAGGCATGCCCTACCTAAACCTACAGTGCCCGGCGCATGCATCGCTGGGTGGGATATTGTCGCCGAGTGCAAGCAGCGGTTCCAGACATTGCTCTGCAGCGCGACCCTGGTTTCCTGGGGAAGGTTGACACCATAGTTGAAAAATGCCGGGCCCAGGAGGACCCTCATTGCCTGGCAAAAAGGTCGGAGTGCAATCGGTGCCGTTCAGTTTGGGCCTCGCCCCGAGCTGCTCACAAGCACATGCCCCCCGGATGGACTGGGCTTTTGTATCAAAGGTCAGACGAGCAGAGTGTCCAAACCTATTTGTCCAGTGAGTGGCCTGCCGCTTCCTCGCTCTCTTGTCGGGTCGCCCCCATTCGTCTTCCTGTGCCCCCCGACCTTTCTTCGGAGAACTGGTCCGGGCGGCGGCGTCCGTGGCGGCTTGCGCCGTCAGGTGCACGAGAGCGAAGACGGTTCTCAACTCAGGCATTTGTTCAGGCTGCGTGCAGGACTCCCAACCCTGCACGTCGTAGTCTCGACGCTTCAGTGCGCTGTGCCACAAAGCCCTGCACGCAGCCTCGACGCTTCTGAGCGCTCTGTGCTCAATAGAAAGCTACAGATGCGATGGCAGCAACGAATGGCGGACGAGTTCTGACGTCAACGAATGGCCTGTGGCCCTCCCGCCTCCTCCCTCACGGCCTCGCTCCTCCTCCCTCCGCCCCCCTTACCCTCTGGCCCTCTTGGCGGCGGCGCGTCTGCGCGCGAAGGCGCGCCCCCGCGCCCCTGGCCGCCCCGCCGGGACCCGCCTCCCCGCCCGCCTGCACCCACAGACACGCTCACGCTCCTCCTCTGCTCCTGTTCTTCACAGCGGAAGCCCATGCCGAGAAGCGGCCTGCTTGCCTCCAGGGTGCCCTGGGTTCCCTGGGTCCCGACGGTTTTGCTGTGGAGGGCCGAAGCGCGACGTTCCCACAGCAAGAATCCATGGACGTCCTGGGGCCTCAGGGTTGGGTTTCTTGTGGCAGGTGTCTTGTGGACCGGCCTCCACTGTATCCTCTCATTGCTCCTCCCCCCCTCTCCGGCCAGTCTGGCCGACGACAGCGACGGCGTTGACCACGACGATGGCGACGAGGACGACGACCGCGACGACGACGACGACGACGACCACGACGACGACGACGATGACCACGACCACGACCACGACCCCGACCACGACAACCACGACGACGACCACGACGACGACCTCCGCGGGTCTCCGAAGGCCTTAAAGGTCCGGGAAGGTCACCAGAGCGATCGGCACCAAGTCAGAAAATGGATCCTCCAGCCGAGGGCGGCGGCGACAGCAAGGACGCCAGCGACCGCGACGACGACAACACGACGACGATGGCAACGACGCCGACGACGCCGATTCAGACGCCAGCGCCGACGCCGACGCCGACGCCGCCGCCGCCGCTGCTGCCGCCGACGCCGACGCCGACGCCGCCGCCACCGACGACGACGACGACAACGACGGCGACGACGACGACGACAACGACGGCGACGTCGACGACAACGACGACCACTTTGGCGACGACACCGACAATCGCGGCGACGACAACGACGACATCGACGACGGTACGACGATGACTACCACGACGACGACCACGACGAAGACGACGACGACGACGACCACGCTGACGACGACGACGACGACGACGACACCGACGACTGCGACGACGACGACCACGCTGACGACGACGACGACGACGATGACTACGACGCAACCGCCGCCCCAAGCACTGCAACGGCGTGTCGGAGGCGCCCACGTCGACGGCGTCGCCGAGGAGCGACGCCCCGTCCCCATGCCTGCTGTCCAGGCGCGCGCCGCTCCCGGGCGACGACGTTCGAAGATTGCGGACGACGACGACGACGACGACGACGACGACGACTATAACGACGGCGACTACCACGGCGGCGGCGGCGGCGACGACGACGGCGGACGACGGCGCACGACGAGGATTCCTCGATCGTCTTGCCCTCTCCTTGCCCTCGTACCCGCTCTCCCCGCCTCCACCTCCCCAACCCAGCCCCTCCCTGGCCCCCTTCATGCCTTTTTGGCCTCACGCGCTCCCCCCCCGCAAGTTACTTGCTCGGCGCTCTAAAGACTGCAACTGCTTCAGTAGCGTGTAATCGTTCGAGTCTCAAGGCCTCGTAATACGAATTGGCAGCATGCTATGACAGCAAGTGCACATGCCGCACATGTTAGGGCAAACTCAGACACCTGCCGAGTCTTCCCCCCCACAGGCGAGTGCCGTCATGGATGCCGAAGAAGGACGTGAAGGAGGGCGGCATCGGCAGGTCCCAGTTTATCCTGGACAGACCCGGGAGGATTCAGGACCACGGGGTGCATGGTGCGTACTAGGCCATCGTCGTCGTCGAGTCGACGATCGAGTTTGTTGAACCAGCCTCTGGCCGGTTTTGTTGTTTTTACTTCTGGGAGGCTTCTCGTCGCCACGGCTGGATTCCCATCGAAAGTCTGGTCAGCACGAACCCTGAATAGGTTCATGGGTCGCTTTTTAGGACGGGGGCCACCCAGACCTCCAACGTCTTGAAAAAACGGGGACCGACTTGTCATGCCATTTTCACCGTTGGGAGGAGCTCCGGATGAAACGGCAGGCCCCAGGGACGGGGTCGGGACTTCGGGAACCCCGTTCTGAAACAATTCGACGTCGGAGGCTTAGGGAGGACCCTCAGATCTGGTCGCCGCGAAACAACATCACGACGGGCGTCTTCGGTCACGTATCAGGCTGGGTCAATCCCGCTCGAGAAATGGCTCCTAGAGATGTTGTCGAGAGTGGTCGTGTTGTTGTTGTTGTTGTTGTTGTTGTTGTTGTTGAATCCGCTGAGCTGCTTGTTCACGACGTCGGATCTCGGGAGAGAACGGGTACGAGGATGACAAGGATGAAGTCACTATGGTCGGAGGGGTATCCCACGGGTCACTTATTCGCAGCCTACTTAGGGGGGTTGGCCCGAAGACCAGACCTTCTCTGGTACACATCTGCCCCGCTGTCCTCCCAGGACAGCAACCCTCTCCAGTCTCTTCGAGCATCTGGTCTGCACGTGAGCGATGAAGGAAAACGGGGTCGTCTTCACTGACATTGGCGCGTAAGCTGCCCGCGTAAGGTCGCGCGTAAGCGCCCTCGTCTCCAGTGTGGCGTGCCGCGCTGGCGGCCCGCGTAAGCCTCCGCGTGAAGGTCGCCGTGTCACATCGCGTAAGACGTCGCCACCTAGAAAAGCCGGTCCAGGGTGGGAGGAGGAGGAGGAGGAAGAGGAGGAGGAGGAGGAGGAGGAGGAGGAGAAGGGCCCACGCCAATGATCGTCGCTCGCGTGGGCGCTGGCCAGAATGCCGATCGACTTCCACCACACGTGTTGAGAGGGTGCCGTGGTCGTCGCTCTCGGGAGAGCACGCTGGTTTCCGCCAGGCATGGGGCCCCGCATGTTCCCCAGGCTTCCCCGCGCTCGGCGGCTTTGCAAGCAGCGCCGACGCCGCGTCGAGCTCGCGATCGTTGTCTTACTCACTGTGTTGCCGATCGGCGCGGGCCCTCGCACCCCCTCCCCTCCCCCCCTCCACCCACGCTGTAGATCTTGGCCGTGTTGGGCGCCTGCTTCGAGCAGGGTGGGGTCTTCCCCGCATGGCGCACTGGTGCAAACCACAGCCGCACCAAGCAGAGGTCCCGAGCCAGACCCCGCCCCCCCTACCCCCCCCCCATTCCGCCCCGCGTCGGCACGCCGAACCGGAAGACGCCCACCCCTCCGACGGCGCAAGCAGCGCGCGAGGGGGGGCAGGACACCTACTCCATGGACAAGAAGAAGCTCGGGGAGGGCACGTACGGCTCGGTCTGCCGCAGCACGCACAAGGCCACCAGGGCCCGGCCCCCGGTACCCGCGCCGCGCGGGGACTGCGGGGACGGCGGGCCGCTCGAGAGTTCGCCCCATGCCTACACGTCGTCCGTGTCTGATGCGTCGGAAGTTCTCTGTTTTTTTGGGGAGGGGGCAAGGTCCTCTCGTGTCCAATTGTGGCCGCTGGGGCTCCAGGAACCGTCAGAGGCGAGCACGATCCGGCACGAACGACGTGTACCGATCACCCCCCCCCCATCACACGCCCCCTTCTGGCACCTCGGTCGCGCGAGTGAGCGTCGAGCTCGGACGGTGCAGGAGCTGCAAGGCGTCACCAAGCATGCCAGCGGACTTCCGCACGGAGGGGGGAAGGAACCCGCAGGGTTGCGAAGAGGATCGCGCGCCGCGCTCCAGGCTGGAGAGTGCGCTGCTCCTCTGGACGGGGCAGCGGCTCAGCGCGGAGGGGTGCTGAGCGCGTCGCGCGTCGCGCGGCGCGAGGACTGCGGCTGCTGCTGTTCGTGTGGTCTGGCCCACCCCCCTCCCCCCTTTGTGAGAGCGATGCAGCCCCTGCCAGGGAGTGCAGGTAGGCCACCAGGACGCCCAGGTTCGCCCAGGCAGCGCTCTCCATCCAGCGACGGCGATGGCGAAGCGGCCGGCGCTTGTTGCTACCCGTCGCAGCTGCGGGCTCACGATGCAGCCGACCTGCATGGCGTTGAACAGCGCAGGGTAAGAGTAGCATTCAAAAGATGAAGAGCACAGGGACGGGAGGGAGGGGGAGGCATGCGGATCAAGGGAAGGAGGACGAGGAGGGAAAGAAAGGGGTGGGAGAAGATGAGGAGAGGGAGGCAGGAGGCGAAGGCATGATGTTGGTAAGGCATTAGGAGGAGAAGGTGGAACGAGGAGGAAGAGGAGGAGGAGGAGGAGGAGGAAGGATGAGATGGAAGAGGAGGATGCGGAGTAGGATGAGGAAAAGGATGCAGAGAAGGAGGATGGGGAGGAGACCTTGGCGGCATAAGGGTAGGGAGGGAGGGGGAGAAGGAAAAGGAGAAAGAGGAGGATGATGAGGAGGATAATGAGGAGGCATGAGGAGAAGGAGGAGGAAGAGGAGGAGGAATCGGAGGAAGTGGAGAGGCTGAGGCGGCAGGAGGTTGCAGGAGGGGGAGAGGAGCGGCAGGGAGCAGCAGGGAGCGCGAGGCGGAGAGGAGGCGGAAAGGGAGGAGGGGGCGGGCGGTGAAGGGCTGCATGCGGGCACGGCGCGGAGAGTCGTCTCGTGGCTGGGGCGTGGGGCGTCCTGCACCGAGGGATTGCAAAAGAAAGGATTGCAAAAAAAACGAAGGATTGCAAAAAGGATTGCAAAAAAAGATTGCAAAAAATAGATATGTTTTTTGCAATCCTTTTTTTGCCACTTTTTTTTGCAATCCTTCTTTTTTTTTCAATCCTTCGGGAAGCCAGCATCCTCCCGTGGAGAGGGGAGGGGGCCCCCTGGGGTCTGCAGGGAGGCCTCAGAGGCCTCCGGAGGTCGCCGGAGAGCTCCCCTTTGAGGCTCCGGGGGGGGGGGCCCGCGGGCCCACGCAGGGCCTGCAGCGGTCCGGGCACCGCCCCCGCGGAGAGGAGCCGAGGAGGGGGGAGGGGGGAGGGGGCTCCGAGGGGAGGATCGGGAGCAGGCTGGAAGAGGGAGGGGGAGTGGACGAGGGGGAGGAGCGAGTGGAGGGGGAGGAGAGAGGCGGAGAGAGAGAGAGAGAGAGAGGGAGGGCTGGAGAGAGCAGGTGCAGCAGGCGAGGGCGCCTCGCCGGCAGCCTCCTCTCCCCGGCCTCCGCCTCCGCCAGCGGCTGCCGCTCCTGACTGGCAAGGGGGCCTGGCCGCTGGCACGGCGGGGGGAGGTCCTGGGCGGCGCTGCCGTTGGGCGAGCTGTCCTGCGCAGGGGGGCGGCGCAGCGGCGGAACGGCCGAGACGCTGTAACAAGGCGATCGGTTTCTTACCCATTGTTTTGCCGATCGGCGCGGGCCCTCGCACCCCCTCCCCTCCTCCCCTCCCCCCCCCACCCCGCCAAGGAGTAGATCTTGGCGGTTTGGGGGCGCCTGTTTCAAGCAGGTGGAGGCTCCCCCACAGGGCGCCATGCTGCAGACGGCCACATTTCAAGCAGAGGTCCGGAACCAGACCTTCGACCCCTCCCCCCCTCTGCTCCCGCCCAAAGGTCGACACGCCGAAGAAGAAAACGCGCACCATGGGGAAGATCAAGGCCGAATTTTCTGGGCGTGTGGGGGCTTCTTCTGGGCTTCTGGGTGTGGGCTCCGGGCTTCAGAGCCCCCCTTCGGGAGGCTCCCGGAGATTTCCAAGACCTCCTGGGGCCCACTGTCAAGTCTTCCCGAAGCCGTCTCCGCGGACGGAGACCTCCGGATACCCCTCGAGAGGGAGAAAGAGAGAGGGAGGGGAGGAGGAGGACGAGGAGGAGGAGGAGGAGGACGAGGACGAGGACGAGGACGAGGACAAGGACGAGGAGGAGGCGCAGTAGAGGAGGAGGAGGAGGAGGAGGAGGAGGAGGAGGAGGAGGAGGAGGAGGAGGAGGAGGAGGAGGAGGAGGAGGAAGGGGAGGCGAGGAGGGAGGAGGGAAGGGAGGAGGAAAGGGAAAGGAGGAGGAGGAGGAAGGAGGAAAGAGAGAGAGAGAGAGAAAGAGATTGAGAGAACAAAAAAAAAGAGACAGAGGGAAGAGGAGGAAAGGGGGAGAAAGAGAGAGGAGGAGGAGGAGGAGGAGGAGGAGGAGGAGGAGGAGGAGGAGGAGGAGGAAAGGGGCCAGGGGAGGGAAGAGGGCTAGGGAGGGGGAGGGGGAACAGGAAGAGGGCTACCAGGGGGAATCTCTTTCGACCTCTGGAGAGCGGAGAGCAGGAAGAGGAGGAGGGAGAAGGAGGAGGAGGAGGAGGAGGAGGAGAGGGAGGGAAGAGGAGGAGGAGGAGGAGGAGGACCAGTGTAAACCCAAGAGTCTTCAACGATGTTGGCATAAACCCTCCCTCCAAGCTCCCTCTTGTACAACGAAATGTTCATTTCCACTGAGAGAACTGCCTCGTTGGAAGACAAGCGTTCGAAGACCCTGAAGCATGCCAAAACATGATTCTCGGGACTCCAACGTCACGGATCAGCCTGACTGTTGCGTCTTGTCGATCCGGAGTCGTGCCAGAACGCCGTTCTTGTGACTTCAACACCGCGAATCAACGTAATTGTTGCACCATCATGCTCCTGGATCTTTCCAAAACGTTATCTCTGGTACGTTGACCATGGAAACCATTGAAATGCTTGCATTTCTTAGAATGAATGTGCGCGGCGCTAAGACGAGAGCCACAGTTTGAAAAGTAATCATATTCAATTCGTGAAACCCTTGGAAAATTCTTAGACGAAGGTGCGCGGCGTTAAGGCGATAACCACAATTTGAAAACGACCCGTCCTCAATCCGTGAAATTGTTACAATGTTTCACGAATGCGCGCGGCGCTAAGGCGAGAGCCACATGTTGAAAACGACCCGCCCTCCATGTGCGAAACGGATGCCAATCTTGAAGCTTCAGGGTAATAAATGGTAAGGAAGTCTCAAACGAAACGCCCAGCCCGCCCTTTCGACTGGCCTCGGGATGCGTGCGACAGAGAGAAGTTATTCATAAGGCAAAGGAACGGAGGAGGAGGAGAAGGAGGAGGAGGAGGAAACGGAGGAGGAGGAGCAGGAGGAGGGAGGAGGAGGAGGAGGAGGCGGAGGGGAGCTTACGGGCGAAGGAGTGCATGATCCCCGAACTCTAAGGTAGTGCGCGCCATCAAGACCATCCCGAAGGATTTCGCTTTGGTACGGCTCTCCAGCACGGAAGCGGGCATGTTAGGTTGGGGGCGTGCACCATGCCGTCGTCACGAGCTTCATTCTCTCTCCAAGAAGTCGAAGCAGTGGCAATGGTCACCCAAACCTCTGGCGACTCCAGCAGGTCGCGCAAGATGTGTTTTTGCCACTCGCGGACTCAGAGGGGGTCGTTTCTGGGCCCAGGAACTGTCGAACAAATTTCAGGATGGAGAGCAAGTCATGGGGAAGGGGTCGGGTGTCGGCAGCTCTGGCAGAGCGGCCGCATAATGAAATAATCACAGCATCGGAGGTCTGGGCTTGTTTCTCTAGGAAGTCGGCACAAAGGCGATGGTGATGGTCGAGGGGAACCCTCCCTTGATATCTGAGGGGCCGTAGTCTCAGCACCGCCATACTCCATCAACCTCCCAGGTATACTGAAGACGTCTATGGTGAGTCACCGCCGCCCCCTGCATTTCTGGAAATGCCGACGTGGTCAAACGTTGGGCCAAAGCTTGGTCAAGCTATTGGTCTATGTGTTCCCCCAGCGAATGTGTAAACCCTTGGGGGGCCACTTGGGGAAGGAAGAGAAAGGAGGAGGAGAGGGAGGCGAAGGAGGAGGCGGAGGAGGAAGAGGAGGTCGTGGGGGCCTCCCTGGGCCGTCTCGGGGCCATCTTTGCGCCCTTGAGGGCCGTCGTGGGGCCCTTTTCTGGCCATCTTGGGGCTCTCTTGGACAGTTTTCGGGCCCTCTTGGGCCGGTCGTGGGGCCCTCTTTGGAGCTTCTAGGGCCGCCTTGAGGGCTATCTTGAGGCCTCTTGGGCCGTCTTCGGCTGTCGGAAGCCCGAAATGTCGAGAACACTATAAACAGTCATTGGACAACAGAACTGCACTGTTGGCCTATTGAGGCCCTCCTGAAGCAAATTGGAGCGCATCAGGGGGCCCTTGAGCCGACTTGAGGCAAGCGTGGACCGTCTGGGGGGAGATCTGGGGCCGTCTGGGAGGCATTTTGCGGCGACCTTGGGCTCTTTGGGGGCTGCATTGGGCGTCTTGCAGACGTCTTCGGGACCATCTTGGAGGCTATCCTGAGCCATCGCTGCCATCTAAGAGGCGACGTCTTTTGACTTTCTGGTTTTTCTTTGGGGTACGCACAGGTGGCCGCTGGGATGCGCCGAGACCCCATTCGGAGATGTTGGAATGGCCCAGAGAGTCAGTCAAGTCTCATCACGCCGCGAACCCTTTGCAATCAAAAGGGGGCGGTGGATCGAAGACGCCTACGGCGGATCACCACCGCCCCCTTCCCTCTGGAAGCGCATATGTGGCCAGACGTTGCGGCCAGAGCTCGGCCAAGCTATCGGACTACGTGTTTCCCTGGCCGTTGTGGAAACCCCCAGAGAACACGCTAGGGAGAACAAACAGAAGGAGAGGGAGAAAAAGGGAGGAGGAGAAGGAGGAGGAGGAGGAGGAGGAGGCCCCTGGGGGGCTTCCTTGGGCATCTTGGGGGCCTTGGGAGGCTCCTTGGGAGGCTCTTTGGCCGCCTGAGGGAATTCCTTGCCCGTCTGACACCATCGGAAGCCGTCTTGGGGCCAACTTGGGGCCCCCTTGAGGCTCTACAGGAGACTATCTTGGGCGTCTTGGACGTCTCCTGGGCCGTCTTGGGGCCCTCTTTGGGGCCTCCTGGGCCGTCAGGGGGCCCTTCTCTTGAGCAGTCGGAAAGCCCCAAAGGACCAAATGCCAAAATATGTCAAAACCGATTGGGAAATCAACGATGTTGACCTCCTCGGGCCTTCCTGGAAATCCTCTTGGAGGCCTCTTGGCCAGTCTTGGAACTCTCTATGGGGATCTTCGGTCGTCTTGGGCTATCTCCGGGCCGTCTTGGGCTGTCTTGGGTGCATTTCGGCCCGTCTTGTAGACATATTGCGGCCATCGTGGGTTCTCTTAGGACCACCTTGGCCGTACTGAAGCCATCTTGGAGGCCACAGTGGGTCAATTTGGAGGCGAGTCTTGCGGTTGTTTCCTGGCCTTCAGGTTGGCTGGCGCATTATGCCGAAGGCTTTTGTAAACCTTCAGAAGTGGCCCACAACAGTTTAATGCCTAGCACGCCAAGCACCCGTGTGGCAAGCCACAGGACGCGGCGGATCGAAGGCGCATACGGCGGATCACCGCCGCCCCTGTGCCTTTTGGAAGAGCTTGGGTGGCCGAACGTGCGGCAAGAGCTCGGCCAAGCTGTCGGACAACGTGTTCCCCCAGCCGTTGTGGAAACCTTTCGGAGAACGCGCGGGTGAGAAAGAAGGAGAGGAGGAGAGGTGGGGAAAAAAGAGGAGGAGGAGGAGGAGAAGGAGAAGGCCTCTTGGGGCACTCTTTGGGCCTCCTGGGAGCTTCCTGGAGGCCTCTTGGAGACTTCTTGCGGGATTTCTTGGGCCTCTTGGGGGCCTTGGGAGGCTCCTTGGGAGGTTCCTTGCCCGTCTGACGTCGTCTTGCGGGCCTCCCTGGGCCCTCTTGGGGCGCTTCAGGGCCGTCTTGGAGACCATCTTGTGCGTCTTGAAGGTCTCCTGGGCCGTTTGGGAGCCCTCTTGGAAGCGTTTTGGGGGCCTCTTGGGCAGTCAGGGTCCATCTCGGAGGCCTTGTGGGCGCTCTTGGGGCCCTCTTGGGCCGCCTGGAGGACATCTTGCACCGTCTTGGGGCCATATTGGCAGTTTGGGAGGCGTTTTTGAGGCCGTCTTGGAGGCAATCTTGGGACCACTTGGGGCGTCGTCGAGGCATCCTGGAGGCCACCTTGGCCGTCGCGGATGTGTGTGTTTCCGTCCCTTCCCGGCCTTGCAGGTCCTTCCGCGTGGTCCGCGGGTTGAGCCGAGACCCCGTTGGGAACGTTTACTGCGGGACGGGAAAATGACCACAGCCATTGCTTCTTGTTTGCGCCGCCTTCCAGCTGGCCGAAAAAGAAGCAGTGGCTGTGGTCATTTCCCTGGTGTCAAGCTCAACGAAAATGACGACAACCACTGCTTTCTTTCTGCGGGCTGGAAGGCGGCAACAAAAGAAAAGCAGTGGCTGTGGTCGTTTTCACGCTCCGTAGTTTACGGAGGACCAGACCACCTCGCGTTCGGCACGCCGTGCACCCCTTGCGGCAGGCACGGGGGGCGGCGGATGCAGGCGCCTGCGGCAAGTTCCGCCACCGTGCCAGCGCAGCACGCCGTGTGGCGCCGCCTCGGGCACTGCCCAGAAGGGCCCGACGTGTGGCACGCGTCGTCCCTGGTCCCTTGGGTTTGGGTCGGGCAGGCCCCTTCTGCAGGAGGAAGATTCAGGAGCAGTAGACAAACAGTCTGGGGACGCTTTTTCGTGCAAGTTTTTGGCGATTATTAATGTACGTTTGACTCTGTGTCATTGTTCTTCCAAAAAAAATCCGCCTGCAGGGGGGCATGCCCGACCTAACACACGTCGTCGTCCCTGGTCCTTGGGCCTGTCTGGGCCGCCTTGGGGCTGCCTGGGGCACTCGTGGGGTCGTGCCCTCGTGGGCCGTGCACACCTCAGCGCGAGGACGTTACACGACTCCTCGGGCGTTTGGGTGGCGACGGCCCTCCTTGGCTTAGCATCGCTCGGACGTGTGCATTCTTCCGTCGGCGAGGACCATCGAGGAGCATCTTTAACCATCTGGCGAAAAAAACACGCACGAAACCAGAAAAAAACGCAGGGAATGGACGTCCGAGCGATGGCGACTTGAGGAGCTCTTGGTCCGTGGACTGGCCTGACGGCGATGTAGGTCACGGCGATGTAGGTTTCGGTGCTGTGGGAACGTGTGGCTCGCGCTTTCTCGCAATTCGCGGTGTCGTGTTCGCTCGGTCCGTTCGCAGATGGGAAATGCAGGCAGGTGTGGCTCGCGATGTCCTACAATGTGGTTCCCAACATGACCGTTGAGCAAGCAACATCGCCGTCGGCTGGGCCTTGGTTGGCCTTCTCGCTGGTTTGCTGGATAGCCTCTCGAGGCCTGTTGGGGGCGGTCCTCGGGGTCGTGCTGGCTGGCATTGGGTGCCTCCGGAGGCCGCGTGGGGCCATCCCCTGGCGACCTCGGGGGCCCTCCCACAGACCGTCGCGGCGAGAGCCCTGGAACGCTTCAGGGCGGGGGATGCGCGGCGGTGGCAGGCTCTCCAGAAGCCCATGCCGGGGCAGCATCTGGCACTCTGCCACGCACAAGTGTGCCAAGGGGGCCACGGTGGCGTGCGGATGACTGGCAGCGCGAGGCGGTTCGCGTGTGGATTCGAGGGAAGAGGGCGGGCAACAAACCTACGGGAGAATCAATGGGATTGCTCTCTTCGGGCCTTGCTGGAGGATCTCGTAGGGGCCTGCTGGGTCGTCTTAGGGGCCATCTTGGGCGCTTCTTGGGCCGTCTTGGGCTCTCTTGGACCATTTTTTCTGGCGGTCTTGGAGGCATCTTGGGACCGTCTTGGACGCAATCTTGGGGCTATCTCGGGCTCTCTTGGAGCCATCCTGCCCGTCTTGGAGGCCATCTTGGCCGTCTTGGAGCCGGTTTGGCCAACGGAGTTGTCTTTTATTGTTCAGCGGCTCTATGCAGCCTTCCGGGTGGCCGGCGGGCTGGGCCGAAGTTCCATTGGGAGTTCTGCAGGAAGGACCTAGCACCACCCAGATGTTCAGCACGCCAGGCACACCTTTGATAAATCAACAGGAGGCGGCGGATCTGGTTGTGGGTCAGACCTTGGGGGTCTCTTGGGATGCCTTTTAGGGCCTCTTGAAGGCCTCTCAGGCTTCTTGGGCCCTCTTGGGGGCATTTTGGGGGCCTCTTGGGGTTGATCGGAGGCGTCGTGAAGCCTCTTTGGCGCCTCGAGGGGCGTCTTGGTGTTCTTGGGGACCATCTTGGCACAAAAGGGCTCCTGGGGTCAATTCAGATTCCCCCCTGTGGGCATCTTTTGGCCTTCCTGGAGCTCATCTTGGAGACCTTTTGGGCCGTGTTGGGCGATCTTGAGGCCATCTTGTGCATCTTAGGGGGGACAATCTCGGCCCGTCTTGGAGGCATTTTGAGACTGTCTTGGAGGCCACCTTGGGCCAGCTTGGCCACCGTGGAGGTAGCTTGGAGGTGTCTTGGCCGCCCCAGTTTTCCTGAGTCCGCCTTAGGCTTGCACAGTGCTCTAGGCGGGTTTGGGCGGTTGCTTCACATTCATATGCAGTGCAAGAGTATTTGCCATTTGTGCTCACGGGCCTGCTGGGCGCTTCAATCTAGTGACTGTGAGCTCATCAGTTTTGATTCCTCCTCCCTCTCGTCTTCTGCTGTCCTCCCTCGCGCCCGTCCTCCTCCTCCTCCTCCTCCTCGTCCGTTCCCGCTTCAGCCTCTGGCTTCATTTTAATTCGGAGATGGTTTCTATAAGCCACGCCGCCGCATGAGCTTCAACTTGATATTCACTGTGCGTATTCTTGCCTTGAGTCGTTGTGTGAGGCCCCATGATATAAATGGTCGTTGGGACCATGTCAGGATTGATGCACACACACACAGCGCCATTATTCACATTGGTCGTTCTCGTTTCCTCCTCCTCCTCCTCCTCCTCCTCCTCCGCCTCCTCTCCTTCATCGGTGGCTGTCAGTTTCGAGCCTGTGGGTACCGATTTGGGGACGCAGCCGATTGGACTGATCAGTGGGCAACAATCGTGTACGTGATGGCTTTGCGCGGTCGTCCCCTCCCTCTTGCCCCCCCGTCTTCTCCCAAAAAGCTTGCGCTGGGGAAAAAACGTGAAGGCCATCTTGGCCGTCTTGGGGCGATTTCTTGCGCACGCTGAGGTTTTTACGCGGCTCTCCCGGTGGACGGCGGGTTGGGCCGAAGGCCCACTATCAAGCACGACAAGCACGACCTAAAATTCGGCACGCCGTGCAAGACGCCTACGGCGAATCACCGCCGCCAACTGTCTTTTAAGAGACGCCTATGTGGCCAAACGTCTGGGCAAAGTTTGGCCACTCTATTGGACCATGCGTTCCACCAGCCGTTGTGGAAGCCCTTCGGGGAACACGGGGGGGGCAGGAAGAGGAGGATGAGGAGGGGGAGGCGAAAAGAGGATGAGGAGAAGGATGAGGAGACCTCTTGGGAGCTTCTCCGCTCATTCTTAGGGCCGCCAGTGTGCTTCCCGGGGGGCCACTTGGATGCTTCTTGAAGACCTTCTTGGACATCTTGGGGGCCTTTGGGGGCTTCTTGGGGGCCTCTTTGACTGTCTTACAGCGTTCCTGGCCCGTCTGAGGCCGTCGGAAGTAATCTTGGAAGCCTCCCTGGGCCGTCTTGGGGCCCTCTTCGGCGCTTCGGGGCCATCTTAAGCGTCTTGGAGGCATTTTGGGCTACTTGGGGCCTCTTGGGGGCGTCTTGGGGGCCTCTTGGGGTTGATCGGTGGCGTCTTGGAGCCTCTTTGGCGCCTCGAGGAGTCTTGGGGGCCATCTTGGCACACGAGGGCTCGTGGGGTCAGTTCGGGAGCCCGCCTCTGGGGCCGACAACACTGAAAAGCATGATATGTTCTGACGTAGGGGAAAACACACGACCGGCCCCGAACGCCACGCGAGAAGCTCCAGGAAATCCATCCCTTGAGACTCTGGGCCCCGTTGCACTCGCATTATTCAGCACAGAGAATTCGAATGGATCTCACGACACCCCACTCAGTGCCCACGGCACAGTGGCGGATGATGCATCCGTGGGCTCAGGGCTAGGGGTAGAGGTCGGCCAACTATGGCAGAGCCTGAACGGGCCAAGACTCCTCCTTGTGCATCGAGGCATCGAGGCAGCGCTGACAGGGTCAGTAGATCTTGCCGGCATCGTGGTTGCAGCTTGCTTGTGGAACGGTCGTCGATGCTTGATGAGAGATCGAGAGATCGGCACGTTCGTGAGATGCTCGTTTACCCAAGGGCGCTCGCCTTTTGCGTGTGCTACGACTGCGTCACAGACACGGAGCCCCTCACAGAGACTGGCCGGCGGCGACAGCCCAGCGGTGGGATCCGGTTCCGCTGCCACGTGGGTTGCAAGCCCTCCGGCAGCACGTTCAAGCCCAGGGCGACGCAGAGGAGACGCATGAGCGTTCTTGGGTTTAGTCGGGCCTGTCCCTCTACAGGGGGAATATGAAAAAATAGACAGTCTGGGGACGATGTGCTGATCATTTTTGGGTATTAGTTGAATGTGTTTGTGGAATTTGTTCGGGGGGTTCGTCCAAAATCCGCCTGTCCCGACCTAATTCTTGGGTCGGGTGTTGCCAACAGTGGCCCTGGCCCTCTGGGCCTCGCGCTCTCCCGAGAGGACCCCCCCGGGAGCTCCCAGAGCGGCGCGAGCAGCTGGGGACACCTCCGGCCAGGGACACGTTTGACAGCGCCCGAGCGGGAGCGGCCACTGATTCACGAAATCAAAACAGATGCCCAATCCCAAAAACGCGAGGGCCAAGACAAAATGCTGGCTCCTTGAGACTTCGGGGAGGGAGATTTTGGGGTAGGGTTTTACCAGGGCGACGACGACGAACGCAAAACGTACCCCGAAATCTTTGGCCGATCTTCGAATCCTCGGTGAATCCGCGATTTGGGGATTGGGGATGTGTTTTTTCGTGGTCACTGATGATCTAGATGTTCTGGGTTCTGCTTCGGAGTCCGAGGCGAAGCCGAGAACCGAGTCGGGCGGCAACACAGATTTCGAAGAAGAAGAAATAGAGACGCCATAGACATCAACTTTTGGCGCTCCGCGCGGACTTCTTGGATCCGCGTTGGGCCCTCGCGGCGGCGCCTCCAGCGCCGCCCGCGCCAGTGAGGGGGGTGCAGCGCAGATCCTAGAAATCCGCGCGGAGCGCCAACAGTTTATGGTCATGCAATTGTTCTTCTTTGGCTTACGTTGGTTCCAGGACCCTTCCCCGGGCTTGCTGTTAAGTCGGGCATCTCTACAGGAGGAAGATTCAAAAATAGTCAATTAATAGTCTGGGGACGATCTTCGACGATGTTTGATCATGTGTTCAGTTGTTTGATAGTTTTCGTCGAAAATCCGCCTGTAGGGGGACATGCCCGACCTAAGCTTCCTACACGTTTTGTCGCCCGTTCGCGGCGCGCAGAGACTGGGCCGGCGCGGAGGAGGCGGCCTGCTGAGAGGGGGCAGTGGCAGATTGAAGAACAAATCTGCAGGGCAAGATGCGGAACGTGGAGAGGTTCAAGAAGGATCCACATATTTCTCCACCTGTCTCGAAGAAGAAAAAACGTTATAAACATAAATTTTGGGCGCTCCGCGCGGATCTCTTGGATCCGCGCTGGGGCCCTCTGGCGGCGCCTCCGGCGCCACCCCTGGCGCGGATCCCAGAGACGGGGCGGGGTCCAGCGCAGATCCAAGAAATCCGCGCGGAGCGCCAAAAGTTCATGTTTATGCCGTTTCTTGTGTTTCTAATTTGCCTTCGCTGCGTGATACCCAGCCCCGAGCCGAGCCTCCAGGTCGGTCTTGGAGGTCGCCGCGGCAATCGCGGCGGTCACGAGCCGCAGCGAGGTTGATTGTCGAGGAGTGGCATGCCCCTTCCCAGTCCCCCCTTTCCGCTCTGCGATGTAGGCGTGGCTCACACTTCGCAAGTTAGCGACAGAAAGTTGTAAACGTCTGTTCAACATGAGCAGTCATGCTCTTTTGGTTAGGGGTCGAATCTCACGCAACCATGTCTCCCTCTCTCTCCCTCCCTCTCTCCCTCTCTCTCTCTCTCTCTTCGCGTGTGCGCGTTCGCACGCGCCCCGAGCTTCCCCTTGCCGAGGGCCATCCGGGCCACCAGGCGCCGTGGATACCGCGGCAGAGCCGAGGGGCAGGAGGCGGGACGGGAGCGGAGTGGAGCGCACCGTCGGTCCGTCGAGCCGCCGGACCGGCCCGAAAGGGCAGCGCGGGCGGGCTGGGGCCCGGAGGTAGGGTCACGCCGAGACGCAAGCGAGCTTCATTTGGAATCTGGAGTGATGCGAGGCGGAGCCGGAGAGACGGGTTGGAGATGTGGCACTCCGTTCCGGGGTCGAGACAGAGGAGCAGGAGTGGGAGAGAGGGGAGGCGGAGTCGTAGAGGCGACCATGGAAGCCGGGGTCGGGGAGAGGAGAGCTGGATTCGTCGTGGAGGCGGCATGGGAGCAGGAAAAGCGAAGAAAGAGGAGGAGGGAGGAGCTATAAGGGGGAGGAGGAAGCAGAGCGCGACCCTGGCACATGAGCGTTTACCGCCTCTTATTCTACATTTCCCACCTCACGTGGTTCCTTCAGTTTCATCACCAGTCATGCATTCCTGCTGTTTCTGCGACGCGCTCCTCAGTATCATGGTTTTGTTCCAGAGGTGGAATGACTCAGAGAATGCAACCTGGACATTTCCATACAACTCCTTACGAGAGAGTGAGCGACGTTCAAGCGTGCAGCCTCAAGTGAAATATATAGGATCATAGTGCCCAAACATAAACAGTTCGACAGGCTACAGACAAAGAGCGACTACAGGAGATCGCGATTATGAAGATGATGGACCACCCTAACATAATCCAAGAAGTCAGCGCTATCGCACCGCCAGCACTTTGAAGTGAGGTTGCACGCGAGTGGGAGGTAACTTGCTTCAATCAAATGCAGACGGAGCGGGCAAGTCTGCGTGACTGATGACTTGACTCTCGCACGCAAATATGTTTTTTGGTATTGACACACTTCAACGTGACGATCTGGAGCCTCCGGGAGCGATCGGGGGCAGTTCACAGAGTGTATCGGCTGTCCCCCGCAAGTCTTCTCGAGCATCCGTCTCTGGTCCAGAGAACATCCAGGTGCCGCAGTTGTTTTGGGTGCTGACTTCGCTGCGGCGGGACGATAGCTTACAGGCGCCGGGCCGATGCGCTAGCGGTGCGAGCCAGGGGCTCCCAGAGGAGCCCCATCGCCCGCCCAGGAGGGCCGCCCCGTGCGTCGCCGGAGGGCTCGTCGGAAAGCTTGCGCAGCGGCACGTCAGGGGGTGGTAGAGGGGGGTTAACTTCAGGTGGCATTAGGGGAAGGACGCCAGACGGATGCTCACACTTCCTTCTACCAGGCGCTGTTTAGGGCGAGTTTCTTCTAGCCCCACCTCTGCCTCTACCCCACCTGTAAGTCCCCGCGAGCACGCCCTTCGATGGGTTCGGGCGTTCAGAGAACGGGTTCCCTCGGATCCTTCATCGGGAAAAGCGCGACTGCTGATTGCGAGGGCTTGACGGCCAGTGCCGCCGACCCTGCAGAGCGACGACGACGACGACGACGACGACGACGACGCCGACGCCCACGCCGACGCCCACGCCGACGCCGACGCCGACGCCGACGGCGACGGCGACGGCGACGGCGATGACAACGACGCTCCCGGCGAGGGCGATGACAACGACGACGCGCACGCTCTGGCGTCCAAAGAGCGGAGTCCCTCGGATTCTTCATCGGGAAAAGCGCGACTGCGGAAGTGTGCCCGCAGCTTCCTCCGCTGTTGGGGCCCGCCTCGAGCCCCCCGGGGACCTTTTGCAGAGCAACCGGGGGTGACAAAGCGGCCCCCTTGGAGGCGGTCGAGAGTTCCCTGGGGCTTGATGTGTTGAGCCGTTTTGGGTCACCGCTGCAGTGCCAGCCCCCCCCCCAACGAACGCGGTGCGTCCAGCGGCCCGGGGTGCTCGGACATTCGGATGCGCGCGGCCGATGTGTCACCCCCTTTACCTCTAGACGTCCCCATCCTGGAGCTGGTCCCCATCCCCCCTTGCCCCTTCTAGTTGTGAAAACAGCACGACGGATGTTTTTCGTAAGTGCTCGGCCTCTCGGAGCCCTCAATGGGCCCTGGGACAGCTGGAACAACTACCCGGGACGAGATCACCGGTCCTGGGGAACAGGTCCAGGCCTCTGGAGAGCTGAGTCGTGAAGCCTGCGCCGGAGGAGAGGGCTGGGCCTCCGACGACTGGACTTCGTAGGGTCGCTGGACCCTGGATTCGGCGCCCCCCAACATACTATACTATATGTGCGTCGCCCCCCCAGGGGCGACGCGCGCACCGAGAAATCTTGTTGTATATGCGTCGTGGCGGGCGTTGTCTGGCTACACCGCTCGGGGCACGATACACTACAAGATGGGTATACTATAGGTTCGGGTCGGACGCGCGCCTCCAAGGAGAACATATAGTACTAGTATGTCTTTGTGCGTCCCATGGGATCTCTCCACCCAGCCCCGTGGACCGACGACGACTGCGGCGACGACGACGACGACGACGACGACGACGACGGCGGCGCGTGCAGGGGCAGCCCTGGCGTGTGAGGGGAAAGGCCCTGGGGCTCGGGAGGGGCCCCAGGAGCCCGACGGCCTCATGGGCCCCGCCTCCTGGGGCGTCCAAGGGAGGGGGAGGGATGACTGGGGGGGGAAGTGAGGAGGAGGAGGAGGAGGAGGAGGAGGAGGAGGGGGATGGGGAGGGAGGAGGAGGAGGAGGAGGAGGAGGAGGAGGGAGGAGGAGGAGGAGGAGGAGGAGGAGGGGAGGGGAGGAGGAGGAGAGAGGAGGAGGAGGAGGAGGAGGGGGGAGGAGGGGGAGGAGGAGGGAGGAGAAGAGAGGGAGGGAGGGAGGGAGGGAGGGAGGAGGGGGAGGAGGAGGGGGGGGGGAGGGGGGAGGGAGGGAGGGAGGGAGAGGAGGGAGGGAGGAGGCGGGAGGAGGAGGAGGAGGAGGAGGAGGAGGAGGAGGAGGAGGAGGAGGAGGAGAAGGCGAGGATGCGATGCCTGGCGCGCCGTCCGAGAGCACAGGCAACGTGCAGCAAACTAGCAGCAGCGGGCTGCTGAGACGGTGGCCAGAGGGCGGCTTCCAATCCTTTCCAGGGCTCGCGAGGACCTCTCCCAGCCCCCATACCAACCTGGGCTGGCAGCCGCGGGGCCCAGCAGGCAGACGCTGGGCGAGTGATCTCGCCGAAGCCGTCGAGCACGGACAAGAAACCGAGGAGGAGGAGGAGGAGGAGGAGGAGGAGGAGGAGGTTCGCGGGGACCTCTCCCAGCCCAGATAGCCAGCCTGGACGGGCAGCCAGGGGGCCCAGCAGGGGCTGGGCCCGCACAAGTCCCGCCGAGTGCGTCGAGGACGAGGCCACACTCGGCGAGCACGCCACAGAGCTGCAGGGCGCCACTGGAGCACACGGCAAGCACGTGAAAAGCACGAGCGAAAGTCAACCGTTGAACAAACATCAGCAGCGACACCGCGCTTCTTCGCCCCGAACCGAGGAGCGGTGGCCAACGCGCGGGCGAGGGCCAACCCAGCTGGGGGCACGCACCCCTCGGTGGCACGGCCCCCCAGGCCCAACGGAGGGGTGCTGCCCTGGGTACGTCGGGCGGCCGACGAGGGTCGTCGAGGCCCCACCCGCCGACCCAGGGCCGCGCGGCAGATGCCCAGGCACAGCAGGAAGCCGAAGCTTCAGAGGACGAACTCGCCCGAAAGCACGGACGCACATGAGGTTCGGAGCGGTTCGTTGCTCGTGCGTGGGGCGACGAGAGGCCCTCGGAGGCTCGACAAGAGGCCCTCGGGTGTTTGCCGAGAGGCCGAGAACAGCAGCTTGCCAAGACGCCCTCGCATGCTCGACAGCTAGGATGCTGCCGTGCCTTCGCCGCTGGGCTCCCCAGCACACTCGACGTGCAACGCCTTGGGGCGCCCAGCAGTCGACCACGAAACGCACTCGTCACAGAGGTTCGTACCCACCAGTCGTTGAAAGTAGGTGTTAGGGGAATCCCGTCCTTCAACATCCTTTAAAGCGCCTTCCTACTTCAATGGTCGAGTGGCTTCACCGTCTCCGTCCGCCCAAGAGGGCGGACGGAACCCGATCTACTTTCAATGCCGTCCTGCTTCATGGTTCTGCGTACTTCTTCCGACCGATGGGTAGCCCCAGCACGCCTCAATCCACGCCCATCGTGCGAAATGACGTCGTCAACTTCCCAGCGCGATGCTGCCTTGTAGGCCATGGGCTGTCCAGCAGACAAACCTTCCTCCTCCTCATAGCGGCCGATCATCTCCAGCGCAGCCACAGCTGCTTCCGAGGACACAAAGTCCGTCGCCTTGAACTTCATGATGTGCGCTTCTGCCCTGAAGCCATCGATGACCGTCGGGGCACACGCTGGGCGTAGACATTGAGCAAACGCCAGGCCAGCATTGGGCGCGCGTCGAGCGAGAGCACTTCCGACACATAAGCACCCCCGACCCATGGCCGCGGCGCACAACCGCCGCGACAATATTGTTCTGATGACGCACAGCCTTCAGGAAGTCTGCCTCAGGATCCAAGCCACCGATTTGGGCATCCGACGCGCGGCAAAAGCACAGCACTGCGCCGCGAGGCAATGTTCTCGGAACTCTATTTTGAACACCTCCTCGTACAGCTTAGGCATCTTGTGATCAAGAGCCCCCTCTCGAGCGAAGTGATCTGCCCAGCCACTGCCCATGCGCAAAATCTGCGGGACATCAGAATCAGCATGATCATCCAATAACTTACGCGCTGGAACCCAGGAGAACTGTGGACACCGATCACCCGCCACCGTCTTGATCTGTCTGCAGATGGTCGGGTGCGCACCACTCGCAGCGTCAAGTCGATCAGCCCAGCCATTCCCTTCATCAGCCAACACCAGGAGGTCCGTGCACACGAACTGAAGACTCATGACGAGCTTGAGCGCCATGAGCGTCGCATGCCTCCCAGCTCTGCCCACTGAGTGAAGCTGTCCAGGTAGAGGACCAAAGGAACCTCGGATACTCAGCCACGCCTCGTAAGCTCAGGGACCGCCGACGAGAAGCCTGACCCGCCGGAGAAGATGACGTTAATCTAGCAGCATTGCTCAGAACTCCACCCCAGCCCCAGATCTTGCAGGAGTGGCTTTCCTTCCCCGTCGGAGCCTCGATGGCAAGGGCTGCGTCGCCACGCCAGTTTCCCATGCATCCCACGTGGGCTCTCCGATGACCTTGAGCCCCTGGTCGGACAAGTACCTGCGCATCTCATCGGGGCCTTCAGGAACGACGCCATCAGACATCTCCACCCCGCCCATCGGCTGCCGCAGGGGATCGCAACCAAAGAAGCGATGAGTCCAGGCGCTGCGTTCGTTCCAGGAACCGCGTTCGAGACAAATGCAGCCAGCCTTACCGGATACTGTATCTTCTGAGTCCACTGCACGCTGGCCCAGCGCGCTCTCGAGGACGCAGCATTTGGTCCTTGCTACCATGGAGCCCTCACCACCCACGCAAGCTCTAAGCAAACGCATCCACAACTTGGCCTGGTAACCCATGCGAGGACCATGCCTCTTCATGATTCTGGCTTCGCCACCGAGCAGTGCCGGGCCGCGACTACTTCCTGACGTCCTCCGGCGATTCTGCGAGCAGCGACATGAATTGCCCCCGGCCTGCGACGACGACCGCTGGGGAGCGCATCGCCCATCCAATGCGCCAAAGATTGAGCGTAACTGCACCAATCGGACCCGTCGCACACTTCCAAGACTGATCGTGCACGAGCTGCGTTGCCCTGGAAGCCCACGCGCGATGCAGACTGGACATGTTAGATCCACCCTCCCAGAT